CTTCCCGATTCTGAGAACCTGCTCCGGCCGGGAGGTATCCAGAGGGACTTCCTCGACCTCCTCGGCCGGTTCAGCATGCGGCCTCTCCTCGTCCTTGGCAACGGCTGCCGTGATGGTGTCTATCCTCTTTCCTTCCCTTTCGGCCGGCCTCGTTAGCTTGAGGTAGCATGCTCTGGCTATCCTCTGGTTTCCTCTGGCGTAGCCGATGCCGTCATTGGTGGGGAACTTCAGACACAAGTGCTTCATGGAGATGATGGCCTCCAAGTCCTCCAGTGCTGGCCGCCCTAAGATCAGGTTGTGGGCGCACTGGAGGTGGACCACCATGAACTCCATGTAAATTTTGGCGCGGTGGGGGCCGTCACCGACCTCCACGGGGAGGACTATCGTGCCCTCGGCGTGGATAGAATCCCCGGTGAAGCCGGATAACGGTGTCTTGATCGGCTTCAGCAGAGCTTTGTCCAGCTTCAGCTGCCTGAAGGTGTCCAGGTACATCACGTTGACGGAGCTCCCCGTATCGATGTAAGTGCGGTGGATGATGGTGTCACCGATCTCACACCGGATGACGAGGGCATCCCTATGTGATTCTGTACCCGGAGGCAGATCCTTGTCGGTGAAGGTGATCGCCTCCGTTCGCTGCTTCTTCGGATGGGGGGGAACGTGGGACACCTCCCCTATGTAGAGGGATTGGGCCCATTTCTTTCTCTCGGTGACGGAGTCCCCCCCAGTATTCCCACCCACAATGAGGTGAATGTGATTCTTCTTTGGCGAGGGCTCTTCGAAGTCCTCGTCGTCGCTGAGCCTGCCAATCTCCCGCTTCTTCGTAGAGGGTTCGCGCCCTGGTTTGCCGGTGTTTACCCATGTATTTTTGCGTGGGCCACCTTTAAAAAACTGGGAGAGTTCCCCCTGACGAATAAGACGCTCGATGGTCTTCTTCAGCGTGATGCAGTCGTCGGTGTTGTGCGAGGCGTTCTTGTGGAACCGGCAGTATGTGTCGCCCTGCTGGATGGCAAGGACCTCCTCGGCCGGCCGAGGAGCCTGCTCGATGAGGCCATACTACTCGGCGTAGTCGAGGATGGTGCCGACCGGGTGAGTAAGGGCAACCCCCGGCTGTTCCAACCTCGGCCGCCAGTGGCGATCTTTCTTACTTTGTCCACCAGACCCGTGACGGCCCTGGGCACCCTGGCCGGCCGGGGACGGACCCGGGACCGGCGAAGGATTTGTCTTCTTGGAGGGATGGCCCCCCTCTTTCTTGTGGTTGTGGAGCTCGTCGGCGTCGGCGTACAAGCTTCCGCGCAGGAGCGCCTTGGCGTACGACCTTGGAGGGTCGGTGATGAGGCTCCTGGCGTACGGGGAGCTGCGGAGGGCTCCCTGGTACAGGACGAGGAGGGTGCGCTCATCGGCCCCCTCGACTTCTTCGGTCTCCCTCGTCCTCCGATCAATGAACGACCGGAGGGACTCATTATGTTGCTGCTTGACGGAGGGGAGGTGGGTGAAATACTTCTTCGCGCGCTTCCTCCCGGCAAAGTGGGTGAGGAAGCGTTGAGCGAGGTCCTGCCATGAGTCAATACTCTCTTTAGGTAGCGCGTTGAACCATTCATACGCTGGCCCCTCAAGAGTAGAGAGGAACCAACGGCAGAGATATTCATCCGACACGTTCACCATCAGCATGTTGTTCTGATAGCGGCTGAAGTGCTCCTAGGGGTCTGATCGGCCATCGTAAGACTTGATGGCGTTCCCCCTGTACTTTTCCGGGATGGGGGCCGAGAGCACCCTGTTGGTGAAAGGGGTCCTGGTCCTGACCTGGATGATGGGGTCACCTCGCCCTTCGGCCAACTCCCTCTCCAGGGCGCTGACCTTGTTCATGAGGGCGTTGAGGCCGGGGTCGTTGGAGGCGCCAGCCGTGGGGGTGTTGGCCGATTGCCTGGCCTCCATCTGAGCCAGCCTCCTTTCCAGCTGGGCGATGACCTCGTCCCGGGGGTCCCTGGCGGCCGCAGCGGCGCCCTGCTGGTTTCTCATGCGCTCGTCGTGGGCCGCATTGATCTGGTGGCGCACGTCGTCCTCGTCCAGCTTCCCCTTGCCCTTGTCCGGGCGGGGCTGGTCCGCTGTCCGGGACACAGATCCCAAGCTCTCCCTTGGCGAGCCAGGCCGACGCTCACCAATCCGCCCTGCCATCCTCTCCGAAACCGGACGACGGCGCGTGTCACCTAGCCGGTTGAAGGCAGAGGCTTTTCCACGCGCTGGGGTCTGCCCAGGCCGAAGAGGGGAAGTGGGGTGGGAGTGGGACGACGCCGTGTCCTGGGCCATCACGCCCTCATCGTTGCCTATCTGGACGGCCAACGGTTGGGGCTGAGGAGGTGGAGTGACGTTCCCCCGGTCCTTGGCAAGAGTGCGCTGAGGACGGTGGGGTTCTGGGCCAAGCTGGCGATGATGACCGACAGCGCGGCCTGGACCTGTGGATCCACAGACGGAGAGGCCGCGGCCATAGGCTGGGCCGGGGTGTGGTCTGTCTTCTCAGCTCGTTTCTTGTCCAAGCCGATGCGGGCATCAGGGGCTCCGCCGTTGAGTTGGTTGCGGAGGTCCGTCGTGAGGTTGATGGCCTCCTGGAAGACGTCCCCTCCGCCGACCTGGTCGGTCGTAGCATCCTCCTCGTGCTCCCTGGCCTCCTGGTCCTCATGGATGGCCTTGCTGACGAGGTTGCGGTTTGATTTAGTTCTTCCCATGATCAGTGGTTAGCTGCGCTTGGTAGCGACGAAGGATGCTAACTTGATTGTTCTAGCTCTCAAATGATAGAGTAATTGTCTAGAGAGAAGTGAGAGCTAGAGAGAGAAGTGCAATAATATGCTTCAATAGAATGATTTTGTAACCATGATAACTGCCTCCAGAGGAAGTATTTATAGGGAAAATACGAGCTGGGCTCCCAAGCCTTGGGCTTGGGAGGCCCATTTACAACTGGACCACTACTGGGCCGAATACAAAGCCACTAATGGGCCGTACAAATGAGTAAGTGTAAAATCCGGTTCTGTAGGTCTCCCGTGGCCGACGAGGACTTCGGCCGACGAGGGCACGGCCGACGCGGGCACGGCCGACGAGGACACCCTGGTTCCTTGGCCTCAAGATCATATTCTAGATCGGCCGCTCTTCGGCCGACGAGGGTCTTCCGGTCGACGAGGGCACCGTGTGGTGACTGTGCTTTCTGTTCTGAGTATGTGAGTCCTGGGGCCTAGACCCATATACTCCATCACCCACTTGTATATATTAATCTGGTGATTACACAGAAATCTCCCGATCGATATGTCGGAGTACTGATTAATACAAGAACAAGAGTGATAATGCTATTCTAGAGCTTGAGTATGAAAATGCTAACCTTTTACAATGAAATTAATCCTTCTATTTATACTAATGGGGGTATGAGGTACTTCATGTTGATTGGTTGCTTTATCTAGCCACTTGGAAACCCATACTTCCACTAGTTGCCGTCATACTTTAGCAATAAATGTCACCCGCCACTTGTTGGATACCCGCTGCCCGAACGGGTAATGGACCCCGCTGGAATCATCATTGATCGGGCCCAAGTATGTTGATTAGACCGAACCTCGTTCGGTACATTGATCTGGAATTATCATTGATCTGGCCCATTAATGATCTGGCCCAAATACGTTAATTGACTCGAACCTCGTTCGATACATATTGTTCAGTGAGCATGTTCATCTTCTGGATTATGGGCCCATCTATCGGACTGGATGTCTTGGGCCTTGGATCCGGGTATTGGGCCTGCGGCCCAATATCCCAACACCAGCTATCAATAAGATGACTCTTGGATCAACGGAAGCATTACACAAAACAAGTATAGTATGATTTGTTTTCCTTTAATGACATTATTAGTATGAAATAAAATAAACAAACTTGTCTATTTCGTTATGGAACGCGAACCGTTAAGGTTAGTTAGTTTACTCCACCCTAGCAAGATTTATATATAAAAACGAATATTTATTTTTTTGGGTTGCTTTGTCATGGAACCGGAGACTCTATAGGGACTAACAACTACAAAGAAAGTTTATGCTCCTACATTACATGGATGAATTAAGAACAATATTTTTAAATCCGATTTAGAGCAATTTTGTTGATTATACAAAACTTTATTTTTAAATAATTTGATCCCTAAGTAAAAAAGTGACAAGTTGGATCTCGTCCTCCTTTTCGATTAAAAGGACAAAGTACACACACGATTAAAATTTTCTTCAAACTAAACAAGTGTTAAAAGATCTTTAAATTAAATCAATTCTTAATTACATTAAATGATTATTACAAACACAACTCAACATGTAGTGAAATGATATAAAAAGTTCCAAGCGTTGCACTATCACCACCTACAAATACATCTCCTGTTTGGACTTCCCTTCAAATTAAACAAGAATACTTGTGTATATGCTTTTGAGATATCATTACATTTTGTATTTTATTAGACACATGCAATGTAACCTCACAAAAGAACAATCCTACATGAGAAATAAGTAATAATTAAGCACTCCATATTGCATGGGCCATGCATGGATATTATCCCATCTCTCTTATTTCTTTACAGTTTACACTTTACATCCATTGCTGCACACATTAACATCCATTGGACATGTTAAGGCAAGTTTAAATGTAACATGCACATATGAAAATGCACTACTACATTTTCGGGTCTTTTGTAACAACAGAATTCATTACATTTGGTCCAAAAAACTGTTACATTCGACTTATTGTAATAGTTTCTCGTCGTTACATTCGCTCGCGTTGCATTTGCTCTAATGTAACGGCTTGTAACGGAATTTATGACCAACTGTAATGGTCCTCACGAGATGCCATAAATGTTACAACAGATCGAGTACAAATGTAACAGTATGTAACATGCACAGAGGTAACGGTTTTAAAAATATGTTGGCCCTGATTAATAATGTAATGTAACGGTTTTGAAAATACATTGACACTGATGAATTATGTAATGTAACGGTATATATATTTGCACACATGCAGTCAGGATGTTTTTACACACCTATACCAATCAATGTAACTAGCTGCCATTTAATTATAATTACGTACAAAAGTGAAACAAATGTTGGCCTCAACATCAAATCCATTACATTACAAACCAAGCAACTAAGGTTGTACAAAAGCATTCAAAAGTATGCAAAATAGCTATGTTAAAAGCTCTTTGACAAAGACGTGAGTTTCATAAGTAGCAAACTGTTGAACATCATGTTCACAAACCAAAAGATTGTTTATCACTGCTACTAGGAGAAGCTCAAGTGACAAATCATGGGTATGCATCATTCATCATTTGATTCGCTTCCATCTTCATCTTCATGTGAATCCCTCACCTGTAAATAAACATTTCAAATAATTAGGCGCCCATGTTATATATTTATATATAATTAGTTCATTTGTTTTTTTAGAATAAGACTCATCTAAATATTGTTTTGAAAAAGAAATCAATATTATACTGCAATTATTTATATTTGAGCAACTGAGTATGAGAACTCATATTCACATCTAAGCTGCAAAGTATAATGCTAATAAGCCTAACAGTGAGACGAAACCAAGAGAATCAAATTTGACCTGAAATTGAATGTATTCGGCATTAACAACCCATCAAAAAGGTTGGAGATTTAGCATGTCGTACGGTCTTTCATTATTTCAATCTATTCCATCCTCCTCAGTTTCATGTCTATCATTTTCTATAAAACAAAGAGCCCAAATTATTACTCCCTCCGTCCCATTAGAAGGTTCTCACTTTCTTTTTTTGGACGTCACGTTAGAAAGTTCCCATTTCCATTTTAGGAAACAATTAACAATCTTAAGTGACAGATTAATCATTAAATATTAAAAATAATACATTCATAACATAAACAATTATCAATATTAATTACATTATAATATATACCTATTAAAATTATTTCTCAAAATATACTCGAAGTAGTTTATTTAATTATTGCCTAAATAACCATGCCGTTTTGCTATGGGAACCTTCCAACGGGACGGAGGTAGTAACACATATAATTAGCTAAAAGGAAAACCAAATAATGGTTAAAATTTAGAAACTCACTTTGATAGACGATCATCCACAACAATTGTACTCTTGGGTTGTATTATTATTTTTTGGATAACTGCTAACAACCAAATGTAAAGTCAGAAATTACATGATCAAAGGATGTGCCCCAGTATAAGAAAGGACTCAGCAACACACTGCTTCACCTAATAAAATACTAGGATCCTCCATTACATCAAAATTCAAAATCTAAACAAACTAATAATCACCAGCCACACACAAATGCAATTATATAAGTTCAACTCTGCAATACACTGACACAGTTAGACAGTACATGACTTACCCAATGTTTACTTTAATTATTATGAGTGAGAAATTGAACTTTGTTGAGCGACAAATTGAACTTTGTTGAGTTCACAACTAAGTAATAGAGTTGGGGTTTTAACAAAGTAGGAAACAAAATCCTAGAAATCCTAATCAACTCCAACTAGTAAACAAAATATAGAGATCCTAATCAACTTCAAATAGGAAACGAATAATAGAAATCCTAATTAACTCCAAATAGGAAACAAATGAGAAAAATTATAATCAACCTCAAGCCCATTCCCGCCTGCAGTAAACCGACAGCCTCTCGGGTCTCGGACCCTCCTCTTCCACACAGCCCCCTGCTCTCCCTGCTCTTCCCGCTCTCTATCACTCTTTTAGTTGAAAATCTTTAAAAGAAAATAGAGTATCTAATCTACTCATAGCTAGCTTAAAACTTTTTTATGAAATCATTGTTATTCATATTTAAGAGAAATATATCCCTGCTCATTCATTTTTATTCATATTTAAGATAAATATATCCCTGCTAATTCATCTTCTTTTGGAAGTGTAACAAAGGTACCAATTCAAATACGCACCAGGATTTTAAAGGTAGATAAAAGTTATTCATATACTCACATTACATACCAGGTCTATATATAAGTTTCTCATTGAATGCATAGTCTCATACAAGATTTACATTAAATTTGCAAAGTCCCTGTAGAAACTAATACACTAGTCAGGTAAATATATTAACAATTAACCCTCATCATTATAGATTGTAATTGAATTAAATGTAAGATTCATCAACCATAGAACTAATACACTTTTAAAACGTATAGTAATATCCTGAAGTTAGGTTATCTCATAATCTTACATTAAGTTGGGTAAATATACTAAATGTTAACCTTCATAATTATAAATTGCAATTGAATTGACATCAATGCAAATACTAGGGTATAAGAATTATTGCCTATCCAATAATTCACAAGTTTGAGAGAGTATCCTTTCACTTTGCAATTCAATACAAGTACATAGAAATGAGAACTTGAATGGTGGGAAATATCTAAGAGATGTCACAATTATGTATATAGTATAAAAAAGAAAAAGCTCATTGTCTATCCTATGCAAATATAAGTAATAGGGAAGGGAAACCTTTACATGATATATACAGGGGAACCTCATTTGTAAACCTGAAATGAAATAAAAATTGGTTTTATTTTGAAGTGAAACAATCACCTGACTCTATGAACATTATTTGAAAACATTAAAAAGTAAAAGTATTTTCATATACACTTTTTTCCCTTCCCGGGACAAATTTTCAGGCCCCTGCATGTATATACACACAACTAGATAAGTTGTCAAAACACAAAGAAAAAAGTGTAAGTTCTCACATCATGAGTACATATAACAAAATCCTTAGACTTGATATTGATAACCATTTCCCTACTAATGTCACTTTCTGTAAAATTTTAGCCATTCTTAGTCTTCAACATTTCAATAGGAAGGACATAGGAGTTTGGGTCACTGCTTGGAACCAAAAACAGAAGTGTTACCATCAGCACTCTCAGTAAACTCCTAACCACAATGACTATCCAGAGGTTGCCAAAATGTGCTCGCGAAACATTGAAAATTCAAAGTAAAAATCTACCAGTTCAAAGTGAGTCAAGTTATGGCCGCATCACACAAAACAACAAAGTAATATGGGATCCCTAATTTGAGATTTATTTATGAAATCATTATTACATCCAGTAATCCCAAAGCCCCAAACAGCAATTATCATTCTTCTCTGAGTGTTAAAAATGGGGAATGAGGAATGCGGGGGTGGCAATGTGCAGTAACCGATAAAGAACGGGCGTACCTAATAAGCAAATCAAAAGGTACGACAGGAAAATTGGAGAAAGCATCGGCCAATGGCAGAAAAGCACAGGCGGGCCGCGGAGCTGTCTGCTATCCAGCGGACTATCGAAGAAAGCAATAGCACTAACCGGATGGGAGGGCGGAGAGGCACAAGCAGGGCGCAGGCGTGTCTAATATCATGTGAAGCGGAGCAGGCGTTTAGATTTTCACTTAGGGTTTTCTACCATTGGAGGCTGAAGAAGACGGTGTTTCTAGCGAATTTCCTGGAGAAGACGACGACCTTTGCACGAGATTCATCATAGGGCATATAGCGAACCGGGTCGAGCCGGTGAATATTGATGGCTCTAGGGGCGTCGCCGATCTTAGCGATAGCTGCAGATCCGAAGGCGCGAGAAGCTGCCCATGCTTGCTTCACGAGAGCGACGGACTTCCGTCTCAGTGAATTGGTGGTGGAGCTGATGAAATCCTGAATCCCCATTTCTTTTCCGCTCCACTCCAATGGAAGAGGTTTTCTAAAAGGAAAATTAATTTTGAAAAAGTATAGAAAAAACGAGTAGCTAAATGCACTTATCTCCTTTTAACTTTTTGACTTTCAATCTTTTTCTTTTTAGGAAAAAGACTTTCAACCTGTTAAATTAAAAAGTTAAATTAAAATCGTAGGTGCAGAAGATTTGAAAAATATGTACAAAAGTGTTTGCAGGGGCAGGATTTTCACTTAGGGTTTTCTAGCGTCCTGCCTTTAAGCGCTACAGTTTTAGCTTAATTTTAATGAAAATATGGCGCTCAATTTTGCCGCTTCAATTGTGTTACAAAAGAGTCCACCAAAAGTAACACCGGGTGAACAAATGTAATAGTTTATTATATCGTATAAAGGCATTACATTAGCACTACAATAAATGCAACACTTTTGACTTAAATGTAACGAAATCTTCAAAACTATTACAATAGACTGATTTTAGGTAACACTTTCAATAAACGTTACAATTTTAATGTTACATTAGACTCGAAAATGTAGTAGTGATGTAACTTGCGTATAAGAATATGTAATTCGCGTATAAGTAAAAGTAACTTGTGCATAAGAAGATGTAACTTGCGCACAAGAAGATGCAACTCCATGAATCGAAATAAACAAACCTAGTGTCTCAAAAACTTATAACAAATATATATAAGTGATAAAATATACTACTATATTTATAGAAAAAAGTGTATGAATATAAATGATTACAAAAATAAAAGTAGTGCATGAATATGAAATGTAATGTAATTATTTATATAAACTAATATTTTTTTGTTATGAATTGAATAAAAGAAAATAGATTGAGTTATAATTTAAGTTGAAGTTAAAGAAAAGTAAAATTACAATTAAATTTTTAATATTATAATGGAGAAGAAGAAATGAATTAAGGAAAAGAAATGTAAAAAAGAAGAAAAAGCAAAGGAAAATTGAGGTGAGATGTTCCACGGAAGTTTAAGTATGTCCAAATAGCTAGTATTGGGATCGGCACACCATTCGCATGGTGAGCCGATACCACAATATAATTTGCCGACAAACTTCTAGAGTTGTAAATTAGGTTCCCATGAAAAAATTGAACTTGCAGATCTGAAACGGACATAGATTTTAGGCTTGAAAGTTTTAAGCATTGGCCTGCTGTTGCCCATAAAAAGTAAACCCACTAGCCGTGGTTAGGTTGGGCCGGCCTGGCCGTATGACAACTCTACTCATTTGGACTATTCTAAGTTAGGGCCCTTATCGGGTCAATAAGTTGACCTGGGGCCCAAATCATTTGAATTCAAAAGGTAGGAAAATGCCACTTCAAATATGCAATGTCCCGCTCTGGCTGTAACGAGTCGATGCCCAGCTGTCATAAGTACGTTGAGCTTCCGGACCCACACAGTTACGCCTGTTCCCTCCTCATCCTCGTGTCTATATTTTACGGAGTATTTTTTTCTATTTTCTTTGTTTTAAATTCCCGTTTGCTGGCTCACTCTTTCCAGTTCAGAAACTCCACTCACTCTCTGAATCACGAGGTATGTTCTTCTTATCTTACTGACAAGTTGGATCTCGTCCTCCTTTTTTCACTTCCCCCATTTTTCTGTGATCGACTCCAATGGCGGCTTAGTTTCGTTGTTATTTGTCTAGTTCGCATGATTCTCTTCTCCTTTGCTGCCTATAATTGTGACGGGAATAAGCAAGCAATTGAAGGATATTAGGTTTTTGTTGCTTTTTTTGTGTGTGATTTGTTTCGTGTATGTTGCTGGTTATCATGCTCTACATCTTGTTTAGTGATCTTGTAACTTCCGTCATTGATTTTTATGTGTAACTGCAGTTTATTTTGCGTCTTGCTTTTCCAGCATTATTTGGAGGTGACATGGAATCTCATTTATCTAGTTTGCTTGTTTATTATATTTAATTTATCTTGTTTGTTGTTAAAAGTACTTAGCAAGTTTAGATATTACTCCCTCCCTCCCAAATTAATTTGCAAAATTTGACTTTTTGGGTCAAACAGTTTCATTTTAGTCAATTAATTAGGATAACAATTCTTAATTAAATTTTAATTTGGAATTTGGAACCATAGATTTTAATGTAGTTTCTGAATATGTAAATTTTAATTATTAAAATTGAATTATTATGCATAGGGAGTATTTAACTTTGCAAAATAAATTGAGAGGGAGGAGGTAGTACATTACTACTCCGTATTATACTTTACAAGAATTTTCAACTGGAGAAGGGGTGCGGTCTGTAATAGTACAAATCTGCGGCCTAAACAGGCATTGTTTCCGTATAGATCAAGTTTAGATCTATAATTATCAAATGTTTTACGATACGTCTTCCTAAAATAGCTTTAAAATTTACAAAGATGATCTGTAATCCCTGTTCATTCATGCTCCGTTGAAGGCTTGAAGCCAAATGTGAATATTATGTGATCTGTGAAGTACTGAATTGTTGTTGTTTCATTAATAAATGTTCGAACAGTTTGTATCGCTATAGTGGCTGACTTGTCTTTTTCTCATAAATTTGAATTACTGGTCTTGTTGTTACAGAAAAAGACATAAAAAACACCAGAAGTTGGCAGTATATGTTATGGTGCCTTTGCATGCTTGTGGGGTTCTTAGTGCCGTTTAGCAAGTGTTATTAGGCTGAAAGTACTGAATTTTCTGAAAGGATAAGCCGTTGGTAAACCTCATTTCAGCTAAATAAGTAAGATAAAAGCTACAACGTACTGTCATACTTATTTTTTTCTCTCTAGGGGTGATAAAATAGGGCGACTAATGACTACCAAACGGAGCTCTATTTTCTAAAACGGAAAACATCTGGTATTTGGTAACACCTATTGCACCCAAATAAGTGTAAAACTACTTATTCAGTTATTCTTATTACTGTGCTCATAATCAGAATATGCCCACCTATGGCTACCAAATGAAGTGTGAGTCTTTTTGGTAGCCACTTCTGTGGGCCGGAGTATTTGATAGAGAGCGGGAAGAGCATGTGGCGGGGCCGGGTTAGGGCTTTCATTAGAGTTTATTTATTATTATTAAGTTAATGTTATGTTGTACTTTGGGCCTATTATTAGTAGAGCACTTAGTAGAGTTATTATGGGCTTAATTGGGATTTAATTAATTTGGGCTTTATTAGGGTTTCTTATATTGCTTTTTTATATTTAAAAATGGGAAATGTCATGATTTTGTTTTTGATTTATAGGTTCTCAGTTTTTCCCGTAGTGTACGGCTAAGATGCCTGAGTCTGAATTTGAAATGGAGAAAGAAAATCTATCTATTCTGGTTCCACATGGATTGAACTATGATGATGGAATGAATATTGCATTAGAAAAGGAACTGGAATTGACCAGAGCAAACCTAATGGCTTCAGAGCAAGAGGTCGCAAAGTTAAAGGCTAACCTGTCCGAAGTGATATCTGAAAACGCTCATCGGTTAAAGACCCAAGCTTCTCAGCAGAGACTTGAACTGTCAAATTCATCTTCTACTATCAGCTTTTTAGAGAAAGAGCTAGATATGACTAAACAGGAACTTGAGAGATCAGAAGAGGAGAATTACATGTTAAAAGCGCAACTTGATTCTGTCAAAAGCCATGTTTGGGAACTTGAGAGATCAGAGGAAGAGAATTACAAGTTAAAAGCTCAACTTGATTCTGTCCAAAGCCATGCTTTGGAACTAGAGGAAAAGTACAGTTCCAATATAAGGAAAGTATATTCTGAGAACGAAAAGCTCCAATCTGACATATCTGGTTTGTTCGAAAAGCTAACCTTAATGCAGGTGAAGAAGGAAGAACTAGAGATGGGAAACAAAGCATTAGAAGAGGAGCTCATTCTTTGCAAAGTAGAAGATGTGTGCTTACAAGCAGACCGTAAATGCTTGGAAAATGAACTTGATGCCCTCAAACTGAATTTAGACATGCTAATGACTGAAAGATGTGAGATTAACACAACACTCTCATCCAGAAATGGACAAATTCAAGAACTGCAGTCCAAATGTTCAGATCTAAATGCTGTAATAGATGAACTGAGATTGAGAGTGAAGGAGTTGGAGGGAGAAATAGATAGGCAGGTAGGTGTGATATCAGATAGGGAAGAAGAAAAGAGGGGGGTGATAAGGCAACTTTGCTTCTCACTTGAGCATTACAGAAATGGATATCAGGAGTTGCTGCATGAGTTAAGTGTTGAGAAAAAAAGGGGCAATGATCATTGTTCCTTTATGTGTTTTCCTTGATATTGTGTTGGGTTACCAACATTTAGATATATGATTGCCATTTGTTGTATTTCTTTTTTTTTTCTCTCAGCGGAGTTATAAACCATTATTAGTTTAAAGGTTTGCTGATGTGTAACCCAGAGACTTGAGTTATATTCTATTCTTTTTTCTTCAAATTATATGTGATTGTTGTATTGCTCATTTCAAACTCAGGTTGTTTGAATTTAATTCAAAAAACTGATTTTGCTCTTTGCATTGGAAGCGAGCTCAGTTTTATGGGTTTTGGTGAAGGTTTAACTGTAACATCACTTCTAACTGCTTTTACAGTAAAAGTAATGTCACAACACACAAAAGTACACTTTCTCATAACACAAATGGTAAAGCTACCCTATTTTGTACCCCATTTTGTACACCCTATGTTTGTGGTTCACAAAAGCACTTCATTAAAATGGATCAATTAATTTAATTGTGATTTTTGTGAGCCACAAATATAGGGTGTGGTACAAAATGAGGTACAAAATGGGGCACCTCTAGTAATCTCTTATTAGTCCTATTTTTCCATTAATAATCTCTTATTAAGGTTATTATTATAATACGGAGTATGATTTTTATTAAAGTGTCATTTTCAATTACTTAAAGATAAGAGTATTTAGTCATAATAAACACTCATATTGGCATTATAATATTACTTTATGGTGCATTTTTTAGTTAACCAAAGATAAATGGTATTTGACTAATAATTTTTCCTGCAAAATAGGGCAGTCAATGGAATCATATTAGCAAATCCAGTGCATTTACAAGAAACACATGCAGGGCCCCTGAAAAAGATCATAACAAGCCCCAAAACCTTCTAAAGTTCAAATTACAAAAATCATGCATATATCCAGCAGCAATTCATATGAATCAAAGTGCAACTTTAACTATTCTTCTGCACAATGGCAGATCGCTAACTAGTAACTACTAGATGAGTTGCCCACAGCTTCCTCAGTAGTATCTGTAACCCCGACTAGTTCAATCAGCCTGCCCTCCTTCCTGAACGTAACCGAGGGGGGTCGGGTGCTTAGCATGACAGGGGTAAACTGGTGTATCCAATCCATTCCAAGAACCATGTCATACCCACCCATTCTCACTAGTCTCATTTCTTTCACAAAGGTTTCTCCTTGGACAGTCCATTCGAATTTGGGACAGACTAAATCACAGCTGAACTCATTTCCATTAGCCACAGTCACTTTGAGTGGTGGACTCTTGACACATTCCACAGTCGCCATATCTTTGACTATTTTAGGGTCCAAGAAACTATGTGTGCTCCCACTGTCTATCATAATGACTATGTCTTTGTTCTCAACTTGTCCAAGTAACTTTATGGTCTCAACTCCTACACCCCCACGTGTCACTTCTTCTGCTTCCTCCTCTTCTCTTTCGGTTTCTTCAAGGCCAGTTGTGACATTCAGAGCTCTCCTGCAATTTCTACCACTATGACATTTTCGCTTGCAGCAGGAACAGAGCCTCAGATCTTTCACCCTTAACCATTCCTCTTCCCCTGTATCATCTTCTTTAACATAAGTGTCAGTCTGGTTCTTGAGCGATGAGAATCCATGTTCTTCAGAATTCTTGGCACATTCTTGGAAAGCTGGTTCTTCCAATTCATCTTCAGAATTCTTGGCACATTCTTGGAAAGCTGGTTCTTCCAATTCATCTTCAGAATTCTTGGCACATTCTTGGAAAGCTGGTTCTTCCAATTCCTCCACGCTCCTGTTTGAAGGATTAAGTCTTGTACGCATATCTTCCACCACATGCCCTGCAACCCAATTCTCAGCCTCGCCTGTCTCATGGAATGACGGATTTACAGAATGCGCCTTTAAAATCTCATAAATTTGATACATCTCGAAGCAATCTCTGCGCCTCCTAATCGACGCCATGGGGTTGTGGTCGTTATCAGGAAGATTAACTTCAGGTTGGGGGAGTATAGGCTGTTCGTGTTCTTGGTTCACAAAAGAAACCTGCCCTTCATTCCGACCCCAGGAGACAAGAAGAGAAGGCTGGAAGGGAAGGAGATGAGGCAGACCCATACCAGCACCCACTGGGGAGGGAGCCGTTCTTCTTTCCATCTCAGCTCTTGCAGGTTGTGGGGCAGCCACTGAGTATTCGCTCCAAGATTGACCGTATATATACTCCGTATAAAATAATTCGGAGGCTTTGGAACGGAGAACAAGAAAATCGAACCGGACCAAATTATTATGACCCCGTTCGGTTCTAATATTTATTGGTTATTTATAAATTGTTCAGTTCATATTTTTATTAACTATTCAGCTCTTGGTTTTTGAAAAAATATATTTGAAATTTTTAAGGAACTGTTATATACGATAGTATAATAATTAAGGGGTTTTTCCCTTAATATTACTAAATTAAAGCTAATTTCTAAAAACGTGACCATATTTATATTTGGACAAAAATGTGACTAATGCACAGTGACATCTCCGTAGTGACATTTTCGCGACTAATTTTGACAGTGACTTATCAGTCACCACTGGATACAGTGACACATGTGCAGTGACATCTCCGCCACCATCATCTGCGTCATTGCCGCCACTGCTGCCACCGCCACTGTCGGTCACAGTGACACATTTGCAGTGACAACTTCGTATTGACACCGTCACAGTTACACGGCCTTCGGTGACACCGCCACAGTTACACGGTCACCGGTGTCACCACCACAGTGACACGACCTCCGGCGACACCGCCACAGTGACACGACTTTCGGTCAAAGTGACACCTCCACGGTGACTCCAGCCATGACCTGCCACCTTTGGTGACCACTAGCACATGACCTCCCACCTTCACCCACCGCGGGCGACCACCACTTCCCTCCGCAGATAATCTGCCACCGCCACTCTCCGGCGGGCAGCCTCACCAGCCCCCTCTCAAGCCCCCACCCCTGTCATCCCCTGCTACCTCGCACTCGCACCCACACTCACCCCCCACACACCGGCAACCGCCAACCACCGCCAACCGGCGCCGCCCTAAACAGTGACCCCACAAGCCCAATCCCCAACCCCCAGCTCCCAGTCCCAGTAAAAACGCTGCACAACACACCCCAACCCTGTAACCGCTGCATTCCACCATTCCACCACCGTCCCCCGCCGCACTCCGTTGCAATTGAAGCAATCACAGTGGTGGAGCTCCAGATCCGACGCGAGTGATTGTAGACTAAGAAAGGAGGAGGAGAAGAAGTGACAGGTCAGCAGTCACACCGTCGTCATCTCACTTCACCCTAATCGCTCCATCTCCGCCGTAATCGAAGCCACCTCAGAGATCCAGATCCAGATCCGTCGTCTCCACGGTCATTGCCGTCGCCGCAGCCACGCCGTCTTCATCTTGCCATCTGGATCGCAGTCCCTATGCTAGGTCATGTGGCTAATGGTGTAGACCGGAGCTTGCGACCATAAGACTAGAGCTGGAGGGGAGGGGGAAGTTCGGAGATGGGGAATGGAAGGTGGTAGGCGAACGGGAAGATAACTGTTGAAGATGAACAGGATGAACGATAACGCGAAGGGGGATGGCGGAGACGGCGACGGTGGCAACGGCCTGGGGAGTGGTCTCCTCCGCTCCTGCGATGGCCTTGGGAGATGTCCTCTGTGCTCCTGCTATGGCCTTGGTTGATTCGGATGTTGGTTTGGCTCCAGAGACTAAACAAGTGGGCTGGAAAGTAATGGGCTAGATAAGTCATATTTTTGGGAAAAAACAAAATTAGTCACATTTTTGTATTTCATAAACCTGGTAGTTATATTTGTGTCCTTATTCCAATAATTAAAATAAAATTCTGTGTATTACGGAGTACTTATTACGTGGTAGTGTATAATGCTTTCGTTCTTTAATAAGGTGAACATTGTAATTTTTGCACTGTTCACACACCATACTTTGACCATGACTTTCTACTAATATATATTATCAAATTATTATGTAAAAACTGTTATTAAATTTCTATTAATGTAAATTTCCAAAATATTAACTTTCTATAATGTTTACTAATAAGTAATTATAAAATATTTACAGTCAACGTTGTGTGTTGGCAACGTGAAAGTCAAATTGTTGCAACTATTAAAGAACGAAGGGTAGTATATTTTAATGTATCAGAAAAATCATGTCCAGTCAGAGGGATAGAATGCTCTGTCCGGCCGCCGCCGCTTTGGGCATTTCTAGGTGGAATTTTTTGATAAAATTGTTTGAGGATATTCTTCATGAAGTCTAGTTTATGCCCACTAAATTTCAACTTAAAATTCAATTAGGAACATAATAAAATAAAAGGTTGAAAATAATTGTGTTTTATATGTATATTTTGGCGCAATTATCTTCAAAGAATTATTTGACTCTCTTCCCGATTTAATTTTTAGCTGATTTTTTGTGTGAATAAACTAGATTTGATGAGGAAGCACCCCAAACGGCGGGGACAGGATGGAACATCCTATCCCCTTTAATCTATGTTTACTTCTGATAACCGCTTACGCGGCGTTGTAGTAAAACGGAGTCTAACCTTTCGGTTTTTTCCGAGTATCGTCTCTTGAGGAATGACGGAGGAGTTTCTTGATTTTAAGTCCAGTCACAGGTTATCGCAAATTATCGGAAGCTTTCCAAATTAAAACTTTTGATTGATTTTCTAAACTAACTTTTGAAAAAGAAATTAAATTAAATTATGCAAAATACTAATAATGGCTCAAAAATAAACTAATTGAAAAATATAATATATGTATATTGTATACTAGGCGAGGCAGATCGGCGCAGGGCGTGACGACATAGATCTATACTATTACCCAAATCCGCCTCATCGTATGCACATGGTATACAAATTCGCCAATTTGAAATACGTATGAGCCGGACCCGTCCATATTTTAAATGTCTTATGCGCTTGATGAAGCTTTTTCATAGGTTTCATTTGGTTTACCCTATTATTTAGAAGGGCTAAGTGTTATTAAAGATATAAGCAAATTATTTTTGAAAGTTATAAACAAACAAAAAATTGTCAGCCTTATCCGCACCAGGCGACTCACAGTACTAAAGTCGTTGTGTCTCAAAATAAAATATGTACTAGTGCTAAAATCGTAGTATAGCGTAGCAAGGTTCAAATCTACAGGGAAATGTAGTTCTTCTTTATGAAATTGTAACAAAGGGGGAATTTAAGATTGTTTGACTCGCCAATATTTAAATACTAAGATGAATGACTTATAAAAATTTTAATTAATGAAATAAAAGACTAGACTTTTCTACTATCTATTTGTTGAAATGTGTGTTGATCCCGGTTATATCTTTAACCTGTCCCCTCTTGGATACTCGATTGTGAAGTATCCCCAATTCATTGAGGACAATTATTAATAACGAGACCTGATGGAGTTATGGGACTAGGCCTAGAGCCTAATCGGCCCAAGCCCCGAACTTGGACCCCTAGATCCAGGTCCACAACCTGGAGCCTGCCTACCATCCCAACGGGGAGCCTGCCAGTTCGGCCGACCTGCCAGCCAGGAAAAGTAACAGTCAAGCAATTAAGGCGCGTTTAATTATGTATTTAGTTCTGTATTAATGTTGTAATTAATTAGTCATTATTATCGGTAGCGGTTACGAATCGTATACGCCTATAAAAGGCACTTTGTAATTCAAACTGAGGGAGCGAATTCTAGATGCTATTTCTGGCAACTAAATCTCCTAGCTACTTTCCATTCTTGTCATTGCTTTCCTAATTTCTGCTTGAGTGTCGTACGTAGCTTTCCTAAAAGCCTACGAGCGTCCTATTTTGGACCAACATTGGTGCTTTCATTGAGAGCCTCTATTGTCTCTCACATCACTCGATAGGAATTAACCAAAAGATTAATCACAACTCCAAAAAATCTAGCCAAAAATTTGCCTAAAAAGAATTTCAACATCCTGGAATGTTTACGGAAATGGCCGGAGCTTTACTGACTGGATGATCAAACCCAGGTTCCACCGGCCAGGTTTGAGGTTTAGATCTACACTGCAGCAGGCACCTTGCCCTGCCGCATTTCGCAGACGTGGAGAACTCTCCAGCAGTCGCGATGAGGCTGTGTTGCTCCCTCACACGACAGTCTCCTCAGCCTACAGTTCTACGACATGGAGAACCGGTGGACCCCTGCTCACGAAGGTGCGGAACAAACAAGCTGGCATTCCTCTCTCAAGTTGGACCGGTGGTCCGATGGGGCAGCTGGAATAGCGAGTTTCCCTCGATCGGCGGTCACAGTCCACTTAGCCGCTCACTCTTCTCCCTCCACTAGTACAAAAAAGGCTTTTCACATCGGTCAAAAAAGCTTTTCACATCGGTCAAAAACGGCTTTTCACATCGGTCAAACAGCCGATGTGGTTCCAGCCCATGTGAAAAGTCTCTTGATTTCACATCGGTTGTGGAACCGATGTTATAAAATTATCTACATCGGTTATTAAAGAACTGATGTTAAATATAAGGGAATGGCGAGCTTAAATGTCATACTACATCAGTTATACTCCATGTAAAATAATTCAACATCGGTTTTATAACAACCGATGTGAAACCTCTGTTAAACTACATCAATTTTAACCGTTGTCGTTCTAGATTAATCAACATCATATCTCTTAGAACCGATGTGAAACTCATGTTACTACACGATCCAGAATGATTTTGAGCTTTCTTCTAAAAAACCTGCATAAATATTCATTTCTTATGCAATCAACACCACACACGATGAATAACAAGAAAGATATTCACAACAAAAAAGTGTAGATAAAGATGTACATTGAACAAGTTTTTCAAGTGTAAAAATTCAATAGTACAAAAACGAGTTGCAAACTCAATTCCATTCATTCGTTTAGAATTCTTAGTTGTAGACTACAAGTCAAATGCTTTAAACAAATACATGACGGTCAACATGTCACGCCCCGGACCTACCCGGACACGTCAACAACCCGCCGTACAGTACGAATAGTCAACCGCAGTCCGACTCATCCATACTATACAAGGCGTCTTGAATATCATTCACACATAGTACATCCATAAACAAACATAATGTAAAACATTTATTAAAGCAGCGGAAACAATTGAAACAAGTGTTCAAGCCACACTTGGCATAATTAGGCATGCAAGCCCCCAAAGTAATTATTCAGAAATATTATCCATGAGCATTATTCATATTGTTTTCAAAACGAGAACGGAAGAAGCACGAACCAAGTCTTCTTCTCAGAAACTTCCCGA